TGCGTGCGCGCGACAGAGAGGTCCAACCGCTACTTGTTGTTTTTTGCGCTATCTCCGAAAATATTCATTTTATCAAAAAAATGATAAGGACATTTTTTGTTGATTTTTTAATTTTAAAACTTTTTTTTTAAATAAACTTCCCCGTCAAATCAGTCCTTCTTGATTTATATCGTTATAAACAATTAAATTGTAATTAACAATTAAACTTACCATCGGCGATCAAAATAACCTAGTTTTTCGTGATCCCCGGAAAAAAATACGTAAATATCATTAATCAAAATCCGGGGACCTAAAAGTGCATACGGGCTTCCCTCTTCAGCCGAGGGACTAGAGGGATTGGATAAATAAATAATTTTGTTAAATGAATTTCTGTGTTTTAATCCTAGCTCCTTTCAGTAAATCTCTCACGACCCTGACCTAGCACTCCATGTTCTGGTCCAGTTTCTGGAAACTGAGAACAAAAATCCAGTGGCGCCCTTAAGAGTAAAAGGGGCGACCAAGGGAAACAAAACATCCCGTTTCAAAGAAAAATACTATTAAGAATTAAAATATAAATTATATTAATTCTAATTGATTACATTGACTCAAAAACATATGCGCTGTGGTCCATCAACTTTTGGCCGAAAGAACTCAGGTAATAAATATACAATACTTGACCAAAAAGAAATGCACAGCATTGTATGTTGTCTTCCATGCTTTGAGCCATCGCTACAAACTTGAATAATAATTTTAAAAATATTTTTGGATTTTTTTGAGAAAGAGTTAATTAATACTAACTCGAAAACCTATAGTACTCAAGCCTATAGCATTTACAGTGAGCACTAACAGTAGAAAAAAATTATAATTATCTTCTAAAAGCGAAACAAACCTAAAAAAATTTTTTATTAATTAAAACAGTTAATTTGTAAATGAATTTTTACAAAAAAATAAAACTCAACTCAAGCGCTTCTTGATGCATTTTTACACAATCAGCAATTGATTTCATTAATTCACTTTTTACTTTATTACTTGCAATCATATCTAGCCCGTCGCCCAAATTGCGTAAGCGTCGCCTGAAAAATGGAGATTATTATTAATAAAAATTTATTGTTTCAAATAAAACTGAAATTTTGAATAGATGTAAATACCCGATAATTGTGAACATACTGCAAGCCGCTTGACACATTGTGAAGTAATTTGTTTTAAACGTTACAAAGGCCCATGCAAGAACAGTTATCGCCATAAAATTATGGAGTAAAATATACGAAGAGTATTTTTGAGAATCCAGACCGTAGCAGTCGTGAAATATGAAAGTCCTTTCTCGTGTTTCATTTAGCGGCATAAATATATCGAGAAGTATTGGTGGCAATGTCGTTATTCCATAAAGGACTGGTTGTGAGTAGTAAAGAACTGAAAATTTAAATTAAATTTTTACAAAAAATAATTATAAAATTATAAAAAGCACTCACAGTAGTAAGAATGCATCGCAGCTCTGTGAACGATTCCATCATTCCTTAAAATTTCAATTTCTGATTCATCCAACAAATCAGAGTCCCAAAATTTTTTTACAAGTACCAATAAATTTTTCACCTACAGATAAAACATTAAAAACTTTATTTTTATTTGATTAAAAATTTATTTAAATTAATTTTATTTACCTTAGTTATGTGAAGATGATTGCACGAAGCGGTGATTTGTGCGGTAGTTGCGAAAATAGCCGTGGGTAAAACGGTGACTGTCTGGGCCAAATCACCCCAAACTTGTGCCAGCTTGATAATCTCGAGGATCATGATGCTTTCAATCAAAGAAAATACAATACACCTGACGACGATGCCATAGAGGGGCGGTTGAAAGGGCCAAGAGCCGTTTAAAAGCAGGTGAATTTTCGTGGAACGCCAGAAAGCTTCGTCGAAAACTTTCATATCTTTTTCTTTGATGTAACTGGCCACTCAGTCCTTTTGTTTCTTCTATTTTAACTGTTATCAGTTATCTGTTTTAATCCTTTTACTCAGACAATATTTCCTAAAAACAAAGTGAGTACAATGTTGGAAAGCTTTTAACGACTGCTACTTACTTCAAACGTTTTTCATTGCTTCAAGGGCTATTATAGTCTTAAAATATATGTTACTTTGAGACAAACTGAATACTTTATTCCATTCGTCGAATCCATTAGCGAACTTATTTGACACGAAACCAAAAATCGATGCTCTTTCTTCTTTGTAGATATTGATTCTAGTGTCATTTGTACGTCAGCCATCGTCGGTACAAGTTGGTTCTTTCCAAAAGTGATGTGTTGCAGGATAGAACTTTCAGTTTTAATTTAATTTAAAGTTCTGATAATTTTACAAAGTATTTAGAGATAAATCAGTAATAAAATTTAACAGTTCATGATTAAATTGCAGTTGAAAGGTATAAAAAAAAAATTTTATACCCTAATCTACAAAATAGTCTAACTTAATATTTTTGATTAATCAATTTATTACAATTCAAAAAATAGTTTAAGTAATCACAAAATTTTTATGATTTAATGTACACAAAAATTTTGATACAAACTTTATAGACTACATTTGTATTGCTAAAGTGGTGCATTGTTAATAGCTGTAAAATATTTTTCTAAATAAAACAAAAAAAATTGCTGATTGTTTTTTTAACATTCTTATATTTGTCATCAGCGGGAATATCGCCGATTTAATTGTCAATTATTGGACTGACAACAGAACAGTGCAGTAAGAAAACGACGTCTTTATGACCTAAAAATTTAATCCACAGTTAATTTTTCAGTGTAATTTGAAAGTAGTGTATACTTACTAGAATGTGCCAAAATTCAATTTCCGCGAGGAACCTTTTAAAATGGCAATTTTGAGTTCCGCTTTTAATAGGAGCTGTGTTTGGGCATTTCCTGAGATATTTTGGGGGAAGACGGTTTATTTGATTTTCATAGAATTTTTTAACAGGAGCTTTGTTTGGGCACTTCCGCGGAAATTTCAAAATTTGAACTATCTGAACATACATTATTTATTTATTTATAGAAAAATAATTCTTTTTAATATTTTTTAGAGCACAAATTTAAGATGTGAAATTAAGGATTTTACAATAAAAAAAAAAAGAAAAAAAAATTCCAAATTTCACTTTTGTTGTTTAATGTTAGGTAAGAAGAGCAGGAGTTTAGGATTTTGAATTTTTCGGAGTCGACACTGAGATAGTCCAATGATCTTTGTCTCCCCCCAAAATATCTTAGGAAATGCCTAAACACAGTTCCTGTTAAAAGCAGAACTCAAAATTCCAATTTTAAAAGGTTCCTCATGGAAATTGAATTTTGGCACACCCTAATACTTACATTAGCAAAATTTTCTAACGACATTATAAATAATTTTCCTGCAGTTAGTTTGGTCGGGATCAGACTTCTCAACATCAATAAAATAACCATTGGTTTCATTTCTTGTGGAAAATTGTATGACTTACACACGCATCTAAATAAATCAAAATATCAGTAATTTTTTTAATTTACATACCACTAAATCCTTTGACTATTTTAAAGATCATATTTACATTGATTCAAAAACATATTCGCTGTGATCAATCAATTTTTGTCCAAAGGTACTTAAGTAGTATATATAAAACACCTGCCCAGCCAAGTATGTAAGACATTGTACGTTATGTTCAAAATCATCCAAGTTAGTAATAAACTGCGAAAAGTATGTAAAAAAATTAATATTTTTAATATAAAATAATATCAAAATTGATACTAACTCGAAAACCTATTGTACTCATGCCGACTGCATTGACCGCAAGTACTCCCAATAAAAAAGTACTGTAGTTGTCTTCCAATTGAAAAACAAAACTTGGAACAATAAAAAAAAATATAAAAATTAATTTGATTATTTTTTTAATTTTTTTAACAAATAAATTATATAAAAAAACAACGAAAAAAAAAATTGATTTTTAAAAAATACAATTAAAAAAAAATTTTTTTTCAACAAATTTATTTATCAAATAAATTAAAAAAAAAAATGATCAAGTGACTGCTAACTTTAATTTAAAACCTACTCAAGAGTGTCTTGATGCATTTTCAAACAAATAGAAATTGATTTAATGAGCTTTAATTTCAATTCATTGCTTGTAATCACATCCAGTCCATCTCCTAAAATTCTTACACGACGTCTGCAAATAATAAAAAAAAAATAATATTAATTTCATAAGTTATAAGTATAAAAACACTTTAAACAATCATAAATACCCAATAATGGTGAACATACTGCAAGCATGTTGAATTAACGTGCAATAATTAGCTTTGAACGCAACAAACGCCCACGTAAACACTGACAACGCTGCAAAGTGATGTATATGAATATAAAATGCATATTCTTGTGCATCTACCCCGTAAATTTCAGCAAAAACGAAAAATCTTTCTCTTGTTCCGTTCAACGGCGACGTTATGTCGAGAATAATGGGCGCCAGTGTTGTCAGCGCATAAACCGCAGGTTGGGAGTAATAAAGAACTTGCAAAAAAATAAATTATGTCTTTGAAATTAATAAAAAAATTTATTTAACCTAATTAATAATTTTAATAATTAAATACTTACGATAATAAGTATACATTGCATCGCCATGTTTACGGCCATCGCTACGCAACAATTCAATTTCTCCTTTGTCCAATAAATCAGACTCCCAGCAGTTTTTTACTATCAGCAATAAACGTTTTGTCTGAAAAAAAAAAAAAAAAAAAAAAAAAATATATATGTATTTAATTTAAAAAATATAATTTAATCAGTACTCATTATTTGCCTTATTTAGATTGACGTGGTTACTCGTAACTGAGACTTGTATAACCGCGACGTAAAGGATAACCGGTATAACGGTGAGTGTCATCATCAAATCCCCCGCGACGTAAAATAGTCTGATAATTTCAAGGATCATGATACTTTCGACGAAAGAAAAGACCATGCATCTGAGAAGGATGCTATATAAAGGTCGTTGAAAGGGCCATGCTCCGCTTGCCACTAAGTGCATTTTCGTGGAACGCCAGAAAGCTTCGTCAAAGACGTTCATGTCTTTATTCTATTAAATTTAATACAATGTTCTTCTATTTTCGACCCGTCAGACAGTCTTTGATACAATGTTGCTAAGCTGTTAACAAGACCGTTTAGCTTACCTCAAACGGCTGATATTTTAACGATATTTTAAACGAGTTACTTTAAGACAAACGGAATATTTAGTTTGTTCCGCGAATCCATTAGAGTATTAATACCGGGCTTAAAACTAAAAACTCGATATCCTTTCTTCACAGTTTTATGCGTTTGTCAGTCGTATTCCAGTTCTCGCTTGGACAAGTTGTCTTCTGTGATACAAACCCTCAGAAGAAATCAATATCAATTCGCTAGTACATACTCTTCATTCTAATTATTCGCACGCTTAATAAAGATTTTAGCGGTATTTTATTTTTACACTGATAGAAGGATTTCTTAACATTTAAGAAGATTTCTTTGTATGTAAGAAATCATTTCTTAAACATCATTTCTTAGTATTTAAGAAATATTTCTTAAATACCAAAGAAATATTTTTTAAATACTAAGAAATGATGTTTAAGAAATGATTTCTTACATACAAAGAAATCTTCTTAAATGTTAAGAAATCCTTCTATCAGTGTAATAAATAAAATTGTTACCGTAAAATTTTTTTCATTTGATAAATGCAAAAAATTTTTTTTATCTTGCCAGTAATAATTTTATTTAATTATATAATTCTATCGGTCACAAATTAGGCACATTTGGTAAATTACTATAATTGACTGTTTTTTTTTTTTTTTTTTTTAATTAGAAACCTAAAAGCATACTACTTTATTCAATAATTTATGATTAGATGTTTTATATTACTGAAATGATGTAAGAACAGTGAAGTATGAAAATGAAGTTTTTGCAACGGTTGTAAAATTTTCAAGCGACATTATGTATAGCTTGCCAGCTGTTATCTTCGATACTAATTTACTTCTCATCATCAGCAAAATTATCATCGGTTTCATGTCACTGGAAAATTTATACAACTCAGCTCGGCAACTGCAATTAGAAAATTTTTTAATTATTTCATTATTTTTATATATGTAAATACTAGCGCGTAGTTACATTGATTCGTGGACATACTCGCTGAAGTTAATCAACCTTTGCCCGAAGTAACTTAAAAAAAATAGGTGAGCTACGTGACCAAAAAAGTAACTGATGCACTGAACTCTTCCTTCAATTCCGTCTATCAAAACTACAAACTAAATAGGCGAATTAATTTTATTATTTAAGTGAAGATTATGAAATGCTGGTTTAATAAAAAGTGATCTTTATGTAATTAATTATGGTATTTTATAAATTTTAATCATACTTTTTTTTTAGCTTTTCAGAATAAATCTTACTGCTTACAGAAGATCAAATTTGCGGTGGAAGAATTCATTTTTTTTAATCTGACAAGGTACAAAATAAATAAATCAAAGAAGAAAAGAAACTACAAATTCATGGATTTTATTTTGTAAAAATAATTATTTATTTTTTTAGAAATTTTTGGACTGTTTTGATACGATAGAAAGAACCAAAAATTGTAAGTAAATTAAAAGTAATATTAACTTAATTAATGATCATTTTTTATTAAAATAATGATCAGCATTTTATATAAAAAAAAAATTTTATAAGAAAAATACAAACTCGGAAACCGATAGCGCTTAATCCCAGCACAAGAATTCCGAGAATTACTAATAAATAGTTTGTATAATGCTCTTCTAAAAGTCTTACAAATCTAAAAAAAATTAAAATAATAATAATAATTTAAAAAAAAAAAATAATAATAATAATATTAATATTAAATAAAAAAAATTAAAATAATAATAATAAATAAAAAAATTAAAATAATACTAATAAATAAAAAAATTAAAATAATAATAAATAAAAAAATAAAATAATAATAACAATGAATCAAAAATTAATAATAACAATAAATACAAAAATTTTAATAATAATAATAATAATAATAATAATAAATTAAATAAATTAAAATAACAATAAATCAAAAAATTAAAATAATAATAACAATAAATAAAAAAAATTAAATATAACTTACTCTAGAACATTTTTATGCATTTTGATGCAAATAATTATATCCTTGACATGGCGGTTAGTTTTAAAAAATTTGTGTTTTTTATTTGTGCTTTCATCAGCTCTCAAATTTTGTAAACGCCGTCTAATATAATTTTATTTTATTAAAAGTAAATAATTAAGTTAGTGGGAGAATAAATATAAAACGTAGTTTTAGTTACCCAATGATAGTAAACATACTGCAGGCGTGCTGGATGAAAGCGGAATAAAGAGAGTCAGTACCAATGAAGGTAATAGCAATCAGCGGAGAAACTATGTAAGAGTGTATGTAAATAAATGTCAAATTTTTTTCTGGTTCGACAAAGTATTCTGCTTGATACAGGAAAATTCTCGCTCGTGATTCATTCAAAGGCAAAATAATATCAAGAGCGACAGGAATTAATGGCATTAATTCGTAAGAAATAGTCGAGCTGTAAAGAATGACTAGAAATTTTTTATTAATAATTTAAATAATTAATTTTATTGATAATAATTTAAATAATTAATTTTATTAATAATAATTTAAATAATTAATTTTATTAATTATAATTAATACTCACTGAAGTATAAACTCATAAAGTCTTTGTGTTTTCGGCCATCATTTCTCAAAAATTCAATCTCTGATTCGTCCAATAAACCAGACTCCCAATCGCTTTTTATTCTCAGCAACAAATTTTTCATTTTATTGAGATTGACATGAACGTTGAGAATCTTAACTTGGGTTATTGAGTGCAAAACTAAGATGGGAATGCACTCCAAGGTAAGCTTTAAGTCACCCCAAACTTCAACCAATTTAATTACCTGTAAAATAAAAAATTTTGTCGACAAAATAAATACTTAAATTTTTTTTTTTGAAGAAATTTTCACCTCAGAAATATACAAGCTTTCGAACAAGAAACAAACGACTGTCCTTATTATTATACTTGTAATGTAAGACTGAAAGGGCCAAGCACCGATTACAGAAAGATGGATCCTAGTCGCTCGCCAGTATAAATCATCAAACAAGTTCATCGTGAAATGACAATGAAAATGAAACACAATGCAACTTTATTTCTGCTTTCATTGTCCGCTCAACTACTGTTTCATACTTTATTTACAGAAGGAATTTTTATGTGGGCGTCTTTATAGAACATAAAGACCTTTGTGAAGATGTAAAAGCTGCTTTAATTTCAAATGTACATATTTAATATGCTTTTAATGCAGTCACGCAAGTTGGGCTACAACACTCTTAATCGATATTATTGCAGATAGTCTTGCCGTATTTCTTCCTGGTTATTTCAACTCCAACTTCCTTACCGTCAACTTCTATGAATTTGAGTGATGAGTATTTTTTTGATAATAAAGATTTTAAATTATAAATTTATTTATAATAGTGATTATTATATACCTATCGAATTCTTTTTGCATTCTCTGAAAGTTTTTTACACGGAGAGAAAAATATGGAAATCATTCCTATAATTTTAATGAAATATTTTCCTATACCATTTTAGAAGCGATTACTTAAATTATGGGAATTATACCCATAATTTTTGGGAAACGTTACTATAATTATGGGAATGGTTCCTATAATTATAGGAACTATACCTATAATTATAACTGTAATATCGGCATGATTCCCATAATATATAGGAAAGGTTCCCATAATATATAGGAATGGTTTCCATAATATTATAGGAACCATTCCTATAATATTATGAGAACCATTCCCATAATATTATAGGAATGATGCCAATAATATTGGAGTAATTTTTTTTCACACAACTGTAGTATTTAATTAATTACTTTTCACTAGATTTATTTTTTTTTTTTGATTAAGTGATTCTTTTTTTATAATATATAAATTGATAAAAAAAGTTATCAGTAATAATATTTATTATTATTATCATTATGAAATTAATCAGTTGCAGCAGATGATATTTTTTTAATCTTGAATGGTATACATGCTTGTAAATTAAAAAA